GCGGACAGGTGCTTTTAGCGGGCAAAGGGTAATTTAGCGATATGAGGGATTGTAAGTTACAATAAATAAGTACATTTCCATTTAAAAAATACCCCAAATTCATGAACCTAGTTGGCCTCAGGTACTGTGGTCTGTTGCAGAGTATAAAGAGTTACAGTCACAGAGTACTCAGCTGGGTGGTTGAAACGAAACCTTGGTCTGGATTTATGCTTTCTGGACCTGAACTTACCACCTCTGTCTGTAATGGATTACTTTTGTGAGTAACTTCCCCAACACTGGAAATAACACATATATTGTGTGTGTGCGTGTTCAGCAGTTCTGTGGTCTGCCATGTCTCCAGTTAAATCTGTCCCTGCATTCAGCGCCAACCTGGAAAACGCAGCTCAAAGTTTCCAGCGGGAAGATCGTTTGCGGCCTTTTTTAATGACATAAAGCCCTGAGTTCAGCTGTCGCCTGAACGCGGGAAGGGGGTCAGCCGATGATCTCAGAGCCACGTGCCATTTAAGTGGTGCTTTGGAAGCATTCAGGAATGTTTCAGTCTGGCTCTGCCTCTGTCCTGCAGCGCTGCGGCCAACACTGCGCGGCTTTTGTGTTACTTCTGCTGTTGTTGCTTCGGTAATTACCTGACTTGGTTATCACCTCACCTGTAAACCAGGCGCTAATTACTAACTGCACTCTGACAGACGGCACTGTGGCGCCTGAGGGCCAGAGCTGCTGATTGGTTGGCCGTAGAAGCTTCTAGAATATCCTAAGCTCTTTGGGAATTCGTGCGGGCTGATCTGTACCTACTTTGGGCTCCACCTAAACCCCCACCTGCAGGGGTCCTTGTTCTCCCCGGTTTTTCCACCCCAGGCCAGTTTGGGCTGACTCTCCACTGGGGTTGCAAAATTCTGGGAATTTTCCCATTAATTCTTATATATTCCTGTTAATTCTCATGGAAAGTTGCCAATATAAAATAGTTCCAAAATTTTCCATCTTAACTTCCCACGGAATGGAAAGTTTCTGGGAACTTTCCTCAAGTTTTCTACCCCTCTGAAACCCTACTCTTCACCCTGTGAGGTCACTTCCTCTTTGTCCTGACAGTCCGGCAGGAGGGGGCAGAGCATACCCACTCCCCAGCAGTGATGGCGGAATAATGGCTACCTCAGCGTACACTGACCATCCCCGCCAACTCCCACCGTTAATGATCCATCACTAGCAGTTAACCTCCGACTCCCATCTTTGTTTCACGTTTCAGGAACAAGTTTGAATTTTTTTATTTATTTGCTATCTCACACCCAGCGCCAAGAGTAATTATGATCAGTTATTTCATTACCTAGAGCAATTTACAGCCATGAAATGATTAGGGGGGGAAATGAATGATTCATTAATCCTAATTAGTATTATGGATATGAATTCATACTGTTATCTGAGAGGCACAAATGAACCAAGTTAGCATCAGTATATCTAGTTTATTTGAAGAAGTGTAAAACAGTTGTGTGTCATAACCGTTTGGAGGTCCCCTGTGTGGGTTAGAGCCCGTCTTGGGCATGAGAAGGGTTTCGGGACCAGGTGTGTATGGGGTGGGGCCACAAGGGCACTGGGCCCAAGTTTATTGGCCTTAAAAAGTGAGGGGTGGGTCCTCCTGCCGTGCGACACTGGCTTCCTGCCTCTAATGGCACTTTTCTTTTGTCTCTCTGTACCAGGTGACATCACACAGAAAGGCTATGAGAAGAAGAGGGCGAAATTAATCGGGGCTTATCTACCACACCCTCCAGGTAAGGTGTCAGGGCGGGTGTTCTGTCATCGTGGGCCAGAGAGAGTGGGCCAGCTCCCATATCCAGTGATACACCTGGGACCTCTCCAGGCTGGGGGGCCAGATCGAAGGGGGGGCTACTTAGGTCAGCGCAGTAGTTCTCAGTCCTGTTCCTGCCCCCCCTGCCAGGATGTTTTCATTCCAACCCACACTGCTTTCAACCTGCCACATTAATTATTGGCCTATTAGGACCATATAAGCCTGATCCAGGTGGGGTTGGAATGAAAACATTCTGGTAGGAGGGGCAGCAGGAACAGGACTGAGAACCACTGGATCAGAGGAAGATCAGGGTTTAGCCTGAGAAAACATAATGGTAATGTTTGATTTTCGAAGTGATGTAATTAAAGAGGCCGGGCTCTGTCCGCCTGCCCATCTTCATTCAAGTAAGAGAGGTTTTTTTTTTAATTCCTTTTCAGGGGTATAATTTGGTTCGCTTTTTAGGCCTTGGGCAGATTGTCACGGGGTAGATTCTTGTCTCCTCAGCTTAGGAATTTATTAACCTAATAAGTTAATAAGTAAAGGTCTATGACTGTGGCTATTATTGCATTTCCTGTTTCGGTGCCGTTTCAGTCCCCTGGACAGGATGGATGTCAGACTGGACTCTATAGCGTGTCTATTTGCAGCTCAGAGGCTTTACTGTTTTGACGAGGATTATTTTTAAAAGTCCTATAGTTGGGGACAGGAGAATCTGAGTTTGACCTCGACTAGCCGCCTGAAATGGGGCCTGGTGATTTTGCCGTGTTGTTTACATTAAGAGTGGGTTCTCTGGGTACATCCAGGGAGTTTTTAAGAAATTAGATATCCGGTTGTCTGAATGGGTAAAATTAAGTTGCTTTGCATGAAAGCGCAGGCTGATCGGGAGATGAATATTCATTGGGTCTTAATTACATAGTCCCTCTCCAAGTGGGCAGATTTTTTCCCAGAATCCTCGAGGCTGTCTAAAGCTCCTTTGTGTAGGAACTACAATGAAAAGCGCATTCGAGAGCTTTTGTAAGGGGTGGGTGGTTCTGTCAAGGCGCATTTGCTGCGAGATTACTCTAAGGTTTCAGTCCTGGTGGGGGGAGGAATACAGGTCTGCGTGGAGGCAGCTCCCTCGTGGTCAGAGAACATTCTGGAAGCGAGGGTGCTTGTAGCTGCTTGGCCTTCTGACTTCTCAGGATGCACCAAGGGGGGGTTTGTGTTGATGGTCCCCCCCCCCAGAGGATTTCCAAACGCACGGGACCGACAGCTTGTGTCACCAGTTTAACTTGCATGCCTCGCATTATTTGGCTGCTGCATGCAACAGGGAGGTGGTGAGTCAAAACAAACCTGTTAGCTACTGATGCAGATCGCCATAGCAACCGTGTACAATATGTCTAGCAGTTACAACAGCGGCAGAGTTGCCACTACCCCTCCCATTCCGATACGGAACCCGCCGAGCCGAGGCCTTCTGCCATCTTAGTGTGGCGTCATGCCGCGCCAACAGATGCTGTCGAGCATCTCCGTGGTGAAGGACTTTCTCAGTCGCCTGTGGTTTACCTCGACTGTGTGTCACGCCGTTCTGGCACCGTGGGTGGGCGCGCGTGGCCCAAATTAACGGGCGTCTGATTAAAAGCCTGTTAAATGTTAAATGTCACATCTTTGAAGGCTGGATTTCCAACATTGTGTATCATATCAAAGAATTAACTGGGAATAGGCTCAAGGAAAATTTAAATAGCCTTTGAGAGCATGGTCTGTTGTTCTTAATGAGGAAGAATGTAATATTGTCAGATAAAATGTGTAGTTAAAATTATGACTTTGGGCCATAAATACAATTATTATAGTAATGACTGGTATGAACGGGTCATTTTTTATTTGGAAGGGAATGTTTGAAAGGTTCTCCCAGGTGCCATCAGAGAATGTACCAGAATTCTGTTATATGAATCAGTAACCCAGCAACCATCCAAAAGTTTCAGCATCAGCATATCTCAGAGTAAATTCAATAACACTGCAGTTTTTATGGGGATATTCAGCTCTGTTTCAGCTGAGCGGAAACCCTCGATTATTAAAATGAAAAATTCAGATTAATAAAAGGAACGGCTGGCTTTATTTCCGGTACCCGCTGCACCGTAGCACCCTGTTTCTGAAGTCGTAAGACATCGATCACAGAAACTTTGTCTACCTGAACTTCATATGCGTCTCCAGGGAGAGACATTTGTCAGCCTCCGTCGGCATAACGACTTGGTAGCTAGACGTCACGCAAGCGGGTAGGATTCAGGGTCCCGGGAAGCTGCTGCCAGATGTGAAGGAGGCATGTTGGAGAAAATATTAGGCATGGGCTCACCATGGGGTCTTCATTATTTAGAACCTGAGTTGAGGAACAAGGTGGAATTCTAGAATGTACACAAGCAGAATGTGGTTACACAGGGAGGAGAGGCACTCTAAAGATAAATACATTAACATGCATCGATATGGATCAATCCGAGTGTTTATGCTCAGCTTAAGGCTGCATATTATAGGATGGTGGATTTAAAGAAGAAACCTAATGCATCATGTAATCGTTTAATACGCCAGAAAGCCAGGTATTAGCCAGGTGTTGGCTCGTTTTGTTTTGCTTCTTCTGTTAATACCGTAAATGGGATCCATCCTCTGAATCAATAAATGCTGCAGGAATTGTTATTACTTTTTGAAGGCAGGGAGCCGGCACATGAGTGTCCTGGGTCGACTTGAGAGTGTCAGCCACGTTCGAGGACCGAGCCGAATACCGTCTCGTCATCCTCTTACTGCTGTAATTAATAAAAATCCTCAAGAACTGGGTTCTCCAGGAGGGAGAGTGTTTTTTTATTTTTTAAACCCGGTTGTCTTATAAGAAGCACTTCCGGAAAGTGGTAACCTCATTCTAGGGCTGGACGACGTCACACCGCGACGTAACCGCGATTATATGCCGCATGCGCGATAATCACCAGGGCTTTAGGTGATGAACAAAACGTTTGTCTGCCTGTCTGCTTTTCGGCACTATACGACTCGTTATACTTACACCCACAGTTTGGTAAGCTGATTAGTAGTGCAACTAATTAGGAATATTAGTAATCTGTATAAAGTCTGCGTATCCTTATGTTTAATCAACGTGTCGGATTTTAAACTGCAAAAAGTACCTACACACCGCCGACGTCTTTTTTTTACTCTGTTTATCCGCAATATTGTTGTTGTGGCTGCTTATAGCTTCCATGATTTACCAAAACAGTAGCATGTGATGCGCTCCGCTAATCGAATTTGATACATATAAGGATACGCTGAATTTATGCAGATTTCTAACTTTCTGGGTGTCACAATATGCATTGCATTAATATTTTAGACGTACTACTAATCTGCTTACCAAATTGTGGCTATAAGTAAATAGTACTGAAAAGCCGGCATCCGGACATCACCTGTCATCTAAAGCCCTGGTGATTATTGCACATGCACCATATAATCGCGAGTACATCAAGATTTGATATGGTGCAGCGGCTGCAGCCCTACCTCATACGGGACACTGTGTTAGGATGATTCCAGCCACCTCCCGGCATGCCATAGCTGTGGGTATCACCCCCTGCTTTCGGCTGACGGTACCACAGAAACACTAATAACGGCAAAATTGAATCGGATTGGTGGGGTCCTGTAGTGTAATTCTGCACGTGGCCTGGGGGTGTGCTCTACTGTTCCCATTCCAGTCTCTTGATTGGTCGATTTCGATCAGTGCCAGTCCAGATGACAGGAGAGTGACTGATGTTTTGCCAGGGGCAGATTGGCCAAGGTGGGTGTCCGACGCCTTCACCGGCGTGTTGTGTGAAATTGCTGAAAATGAAGAAGAGGGCTTTCGGAGGAACAGGAGGTTGCATGATTAACCCTCCTGTTAGTGGTTTGCGTGTGTTTCGACCTCCGTGGGTGGAAATGGGGTAATTTCTATTAAAGTGGAAGGTCAGCGGGAACATCACGCCATCTTGTCCCTGACTCAGCGTGGTTGTCACGGTGACCTTGTCATTGGGCTCTAACTAGGGAGTGGCAGCTAGATTGTTTGGCCAGTAAGAGATGCTTACTGTTGCTTGGACCCACCTTCTCTGCAATCTGATTGGTTATCTCTCTGAACCAATCATTTTTCGTTCTGCCCTCAGAACACTTTTGTGTAAGTTAAACTCCCATGAGCTGCTCATCCCCGAATCGACACAGTGGCTGCTGCCGTACCGAGGCCCCATGCGAACGGCGCTCTTGGAGTTCGATGTCCAGAATCACTCCCAGCCTTCAGGGAGAAGGTTTAATTAATACCCCCGGGAGATTGGCCCGTAAGCCTCAGATAGGTTTAATGCAAGGTCCAGATGGTTTTTGGCTGCATGCTCCTCAGAGTGAAATCAAAGTTGTGTAGCTGCCTTTGTTTTTCTCTCATCAAACAGTATTTATTGATGCTACAAATGGATGTCCCCTTCTGGGACGCAAACCAACAACCTACATGTTCAGGTCGACATCTTTAGCCACCCTGCTGCTGGCGATGAGTAAAGCCTGGGATGTAAGGGCCTTTTTGCCGAGGTGTAGCTGTGCTTCTCCGCGAGTGGAGTTGCGGTTGCGATCCGTCTCGCGTCGGTTAGCTAAGAGGCTGTCATGGTGGTTCTGCAGCTGGAGTGTGGTGAATGCGGCACATCTGTTTGGAGGGGTGTGGAAAGACAGCTCACCTGTCACTGAGCTTTGATGGCCAGCAGCCAACCCCCCCCCCCCCCCCCAAACACTGGTGTGTGGAGCACATGACCCCCAGGTCACACGATCCTTCATCTGTTTTATTGAATCGACGCAGCTCTCCTCCCTCCACACATGAGCACCTGAGACTAAAATCGATTTTCTACCTCATTTACCTGGATGAGCTGGTCTCCGTGTGCTGCTGCCTGGGCTCGGGGGGGCGTTTGGGGGGGGGGGCGGTTTGTGGGTGGCATGGTGGCTTTTTCTTTTTCTTTTTTTGTTATTTATTTTCCTTCTTAATCAAGCGAACCTGCAAGTTAAATATTTGTGGTAACATTTTCCATGAATGCCGTGTCTAAGAATCTATGAACACATTCATAACACATTACAATGCATTCGTTAAGCATTGTAAAGTTGGTAATAAATATTTCTCAAATGGCGTAACACATTATAATCATGTTTATTATGCATTATGAGTGCTTTATGAAGCTGTCATCTATAATGCACTATAGATACCTTCATAATCCAGTACAAAGCATCCTTAATTTTTATACCGACCATTATAATGCATTATGAAGGTATCTGTTGTGTGTTATAGATGAGAGCTTCATTGGAGCTTATGAAGTATTATAATCAACACTATAATGCCTTATTACTGTCAATAGAAGATGATGTAATGCTTTATTAATTCTTATACCGGCCATTTCAATGCATTTTTAAGGAATCTATAATGTATTATAGATGACAGTTTCAAGAAAAATGTTACCATATTTTTAATATCTTTTTTATTTTTCCTTTTTATGTATTTTCATGTTTCTACATTTTAGTACTTATTCTGTGAACTTTCATCGTTTTAGTTTTGTAATCCTTCTCACGTGTTTGAGTATCAGCATTTTCACGGCACTGCTGGTGTGCCAGTGCATTCACACACGTAACTGATAAAGTTCTTCAGTCTTGAATCTTGAATCCGGCCCGCCTTCCTGCGACGGCCACAATCCCACGTGCCGTTGATGTGGTCTCTGCCCTCTCTCCCTCTCCCCATCGCTTTGACCACCTCACCCCCGGCCCCCCCGCCTCTACAGACACCGGCCCCCACTCCCGCCTCTCTCTGCCGGGTGCGGTGCTTTAACTAAATAAGCGTCGGGGGGGCCCTTTCGGATCGATGGTAACGAGATTGGTCAGGCCTGCTTTTCCGGATGTGCCGTAATGCAGGTGGTGGCCCGGGGATTGGGGGGGTGCATGGTGTATGTTCTTGCCCAGAGAGCATGGTGGGAGCTGTAATGGTCCAATAGACACTGAGGCCCACAGTGCTGGGGCAGCTTGGTCCGACAGGCAGGATGTCATCAAGCAGCCATCCACAGAGCCGCGCTGATCATGTGATCTGTCCCCACCAATAGTGTGAAGGCAGTGTGTTTGACAGGAGGCCCTGTACCCCTCTGAAGCGTACATACCCGGCGGCATGCTCAGCGGCTACCGTCTGATGTTTCACGCTGTCCATATGCCGTTCTCAGGCGCTCAGTGTTCAGGTCGTTCTGTAGTGTTCAGGTTTACTGGGCTCGGGTATGCAGCTCAGCTTTTCAGGCCGTCGAGGCGAACGTTGAAGTATGTAGGACTCGGACGCCGTGTTCAGAAGCATATGACTGTGTTCAGGCTTTCCGATTTTCCATGTGTGATGATGTCACCTGCCCCCCCCCAGGCATGGAGCCCTCAGGCCAGGCAGAGCGGAGACCCCCCGTGACGCCGTCGTCCTCTCGCTACCACCGGCGCCGCTCCTCTGGGACTCGGGACGAGCGCTACAGATCAGGTACGTCCCGGCCGGCCACACGGGGGCGCACAGGAGATGGTGTGTGACACCTACGTGGGTGCTGATCCCATTCTGGGCTTTACTTTCACTGTTGGCTGCCCCTTTCAACTCCCCTGTGGAGCAACATGCTGTTGGGTTGAGCCCCAAAACCACCAGGTTACCCAAGGACTTCAAGTATTAATTACAATTAATTAAAGTCTTAATTATGCTTAGTTATTCGGCCAGATGAAATTTATATAGTAATTTATATAGTTATTCTCCCAGATTTTTTTTTTTTTACTCAATCAGTTTAGGGACTTGAACCCATAACCCTTTGGACAATAGCTTGGCACATTGATCGCCATGCCATCCACTGCACACCCCATGCTCTGTATCAGGGGTTTTCAAACTATGTTGAACCACGGAAAACAGACGCTAATGTGCGATGACGAGAGTGACTAAGAACTGAGCCCCCTGTCTTATTTGCACGTTGTGTGAATTGGAGGATGATGCCGGCATTTCGTCAGTTTATTAAATGTCTCTGCGGACCCCCTGCGACTGCAGCAGGGAAAACTCGGCGCCGGTGTTGGGGAAGTTACTCACAGAAGTAATCCATTAAAGACAGAGTTGGAAAGTTGAGGTCCAGGAAGTACCAATCCAGACCAAGGTCACAGTCACAGAGTCACAGTCACAGAGTCACAGTCACAGAGAACTCAACTGGCACAATCATCAATGGGCTCCCTATAGAAATGGCACGAGGTCATGCGGTATTTTGGGAACTAATTATTGGGGGAGGGGGTCATCTGAATAAGCCACAGACGTATGAGGTCCCGGATTGGCTAGTTTATGGCATACCAAGCATTCCTCAACATTTGGGCCAGTTGGTATGTGGGCTACAATTGGCCCTGCTCCCCCACTCAGTAGAATTTACCTTGGGGGGAACCCCAGCATCCAGTTTGTAGGTTTGATTTTGTGGCTGTTTCTCAGCATCTCAATATCTGTGCATGAAGAAAAAGGAAAAAAAACAGGAAAAAAAAAATTATCATTTGCCTCATTCTGGTTTGATGGCTTATTGGCTGCTTGTGTCTGTTGGGGCTGTAACTGAAAGAATGTGCCGGAATGCTGGAATCGAGTTGTGTACACTTTGTTTGTTGACAGGACACAGACACACACCACACTGTGGTAACATATACTGTAAATAGGATGATATGGGGCTGAGATCGGTGTGCGAGGGGGAGCACCTGGCCCCCGGCCCCCACTGTGTCTTGCGGCACCGACCTGCCGCTTGTGGGAGCCGTTATTTACCGGCCGGGAGTCTGCACAGGCGTGGGGGAGTCTGCACAGGCGAGTGGGAGTCTGCACAGGCGAGTGGGAGTCTGCACAGGCGAGAGGGAGTCTGCACAGGCGAGAGGGAGTCTGCACAGGCGAGGGGGCTGCAATTTACCCACGAGCTCATATGCGGCGATGAGACTGGAGGGTTAGAGTTAGGGTTAGGTTAGGGTTAGGGTTAGGGTTAGAGTTAGGGTTAGGGTTAGGGTTAGCCTAGGGTTAGGGTTAGGGTTAGCCTAGGGTTAGGGTTAGGGTTAGCCAAGCGTGACGGCCGCTCGCTCGGACCACAGCCTGTGCCGCCTGGCTCGGCTTTCATGAGTTTCTGCCAAACCTTGTTTTTCCTTATTTATATCTTAAATGCGCATTTAAGCTGCTGGCTTTATCCTGTGCTTATTTTCACTGAATCGTTAACTTTGCTGCTGTACAGACACTGGCTCAGAGGGTAGGATGCTGCGCTTGTGATCGGATGGTTGCAGGTTCTAATCCGGTGGTGAGCTGGGCCCTTATCCCCCCCCTGCTCATTTTTCTCAAAAATGATCACTTTGGATAAAAGCATTAGTTAATATAAGGTAACATTCTATCCCTGGGTGAATTTATACAGCTCTGTGCTTCTGTGGAATCAGCTTGGGCTGCCCCCCCCACTCCCCACCCCCCACCAAGGATTAGTTTATTAACCTCCATTTCCAGACTACATCCCATGCGACGGTACCTATGTATCGTTAAGACCTACTATGTTAAATCTGTTTGGCGACCGGAGCAGAGCTCCATATTTCAATCTCGAAAACCTCTGATGGTCCATCGTGCGCCAAGCGACCTGCTTTGATCTGCCGCCCTGATGGCGCCTTGATGTTTATTCAGTTAGCTTTATGTGACCCGAAGCAGAGAGCTGCCGCGAGGTGTCCTTCCCTGCCAGGCCTGCTGAAATGATGATGTACACTGAAATGATGATGTACACTGAAATGATGGTGTACACTGAAATGATGATGTACACTGAAATGACGATGTACACTGAAATGACGATGTACACTGAAATGATGATGTACACTGAAATGATGGTGTACACTGAAATGACGATGTACACTGAAATGATGATGTACACTGAAATGACGATGTACACTGAAATGAGGGGTTATAGCCATTTAGGTGGAAGGAATGTAACTTAGTTAACTGAAATGTGGGATACTTTCTAAAAAAAAAAAACAAACTAAAAAAACAAACTAGAAATGTAGCTTCCATCGCCAGGATTGGTTATTAAATCCCTGATCGAACATGAAATTGCGGGCCGGCTGAGGCCAGCTGGACCCCGACTGGGGATGACCGCTTTCCAGAAAAGCTGCCGGATCAGTGCTGATACTGTTGTAGTAGGCTTTGTCTGCTTGGGTCTCGCTTTCTTTTGTTTTGGTTTCTGGTTTAGTTACTGTGCTCTGGTTTCCAGGAGGTTGCTGGTTTTAGTCCCCTATGGGGCTGTGTTCAGCTACCCTGGGTAAAATTACTGACGCAGTTACTTAGTGCAAGGAAGGGGGCCTTTGAATAGCATTTTTGCCTTTTTTGATAATATCGGAATTTATTGTGATTTAACGGACTTTTGCATATTCTCCTTTGTTTTTCTTGGTTTATGTACAGTTAAGTGCATTAGTGGCTGTAATTTAGCCATAGTATTTAAATCCCATCGTGGGCGGAATAAAGAGAGACTCCAGGGTCACTATGGATAAGTGGATGGATGGAGCGATGCATGGAGGAGTGGTTGGATTGAAGCTTATTCTTTCTAGACGTAGTTTAAACAATTTGAAGAAGAGTCATTCCCTTGTCTGGGGGTCAGTGTGTGGCTCAGGGGGTTATGACACCCTGTGATCAGAAGGTTGCTGGTTTAAATCCCAATCTCAGCAGAGTGATTTCACTGTTGGGCGCTTGAGCCCCCAGTAACTCCAGCGACTATCTGACCCTGCTTTCTGTTACCCAGTTGCACGTTGCTTTGGGTAAAAGCATCTGATATAAAAAAAAATGCAAATGTAAAATGTAAATGAACTGGTGCCTCATTATTCCGACACACTCTGTAAGTGACCCGTCGGGCATTTCGGAACATCAGTAAGGCCTTTGTCTCCCAGTCATTATGAGTTATGCTGCTTTCTACTGGCTTTTTTTTTCCTCCTGGGCCTCCTCATGTGGGACATCCCATAATAATCCGATTACAGCGTGCACAGGCCAGCAAGCTGCTGTGCTTTTCTCCTGCACCGGGTTGCTCCCTCATTCAGGTTCCTGCTGTTGTACCTTTGAACTGTGGCTGTTGGCTTTCAAATGACGAATGCGCTGTAATAAATGGTATAATAATTATAACAATGATACTTTATCTATTCCCATGGGGAAATTCTCTTTCCACTTTGCCCCATCTTGCTTTCCATACAGGTGAGAGGAAGCTGGGGGGGGGGGTGGTCACAGCGAAGGGGCAGCCAGCTTGCGGCGCCCAGGGAGCTGGGGGTTAAGGGCCTAGCTTAAGGGCCCACAGACATGTGACTATTTTCCCAAGGCCGGGCTCGAACCGGCGACCTTCTGATCATAGGCACAAAGGCTGAGCCACACACAACCTCTGAATGTATATATTTTTCTGGGCGGAATCAAAGCCATCATAGATGTTCCACAGAGAGGGCAGCGTGGTCATAACAATCTTCAGCTGTTTTGTTGACCCGCTAGAGGAACCATGTGATCACTAGCTAAGTGCTACTACTGCTGCGTTTGCTGTTTATAGTAGTAAGGTGTACACTCTGTGTCTGATTTATTAGGTACCCTTGCTTGTTAATACAAACAGCCAGCTCTTCCCTGCAGCCAATCACATTGCTGCAATTCCATATATGGGTCATACTGTCCTCCGCCTTAAGGAGGCGACAGTGAACGGGCTGTGATTGTCGATGCCAGACTCGGTGATTCCGGGATCTCAGCGGCAGACGCCCTCCGGGGATTTTCACGTGCTGAAGTGTCTAGACTTCATGGTGTGGTGAACAGAAAGCATACAGTCAGGGGCATTTCTGTGGTGCAAAAAACAGCCCGTTAATAAAAGAGGTCAGAGAAGAGCGGCCCAGACTCATTACAGCTAACAGGAAGGCCGCGGGTGCAATTCCAGCTCGATATGAGAGTGCTGTGCAGAATGATGCAACTCATGTAACCTCGAGGTGATTCCAGAAGCGAATGGGTTCCTACCTGATGGCCAGCAGCTCTGTGTGCCTGAGAGTGGTCACTCGGCGCACATTGATGATGTCACCCTTGAGAAACAATGGGACTTGCGGGATGAACTGTGGAGCAACACACTTTCAACAGATTCAAATCTGATTGCATGGTTTTACTCAGATCCACTAAATCCCCCTTGTTCAGATTGGCTGTCACTCCAAATTAACAATATTTTAGTCTGCTGTTTGCACGATTTCTTGTGCTTATATTGTTTTATTTATTATTTGCAAGTATTGTACAACACTTCGGTAGACTTTGATGGTTTTTAATGAAACCTTAATAAAAATATCGTTATTTTACGGCCAGAAGGAGATACGGGGAATCCTACGGCTAGCTGGCTTTCTCGTGTCGGCGCAACTGAACTTCTTGATCGTACAAAGATGGCACCTCGAGTCAAAACCCAGCAGACTGTGTGTAGATGTTGTTGCCATGAAAGCAGTTAGTAATGGGTTTGACATTTGTTTGGATGGTTTCAGTGGATGTGTAGAATGTTCTATAGGGACAATGTGTCTGTAATGATTAAGTATATCTGTCTCCCTCTCAGTCTCCCCTTAATTACTGTGTGTCTGAAGGGTTAGAAGGTGATCGTCGCACACAGGGGCGCAGATGGTGGGGGGGGGTGGGCAGCATGGCTGGATAAGCTTAAAGGTGGAGACTTTTTGCTCATTGCCTTGTCATACCCCCCCCAACTTCGAAAATCTGTCCTGCTCCCCTGCCTGCACAGAATAGCTCTGTGGGGTGACTGTGTGGGGACACCGGACCGGACGTGCGGGTGTCTGACCAGGGGGCTCCTCTGCTTATGTCCTACAGTGCAGGTGTCTGATCAGGGGGCTCCTCTGCTTATGTCCCACAGTGCAGGTGTCTGATCAGGGGGCTCCTCTGCTTATGTCCCACAGTGCAGGTGTCTAACCAGGGGGCTCCTCTGCTTATGTCC